GTTCTTGAGTCCTCCCATCATCAGGTCTTCTGTCATTAGTGTTCAATATGTCAAATCTGCTCTTGATATGTTCTCAAAATTCAGGTGGGATAGATTCATGATCATATTTGGGCTCCTGTGGATTCATTTGAATTTTCTTCAGCTTTATCCTGAACTTACATATGCGTAATTCATGATCTGTTCCACAGTTGGCCCCTGTCTGGTTTTAGCTGCTGATCATGAGCTTCGCCATCATGTCTTCCCACAGATGTAGTCAACTTGATTTTGGTGCATTTCATCTGAGGAAGTCCATGCACACAGTAACATTTTGTGTGATTGAAAAAATGTATTTTCTATATATTTTCATTGGTTTTGCAAAATTCTATCATGTGATCTCCATCTGAATTTCTATCACCATGTTCATATTTTCCAACTACTTTTCCCTCCTCTTTGTTTCCAACTTTTGTATTCCAATCACAACAGCTCACAATGCATCTTGCTTGCATGCTTGATCAGTGTGTTAGACAGGGTTCTCTAGAGAAACAAAACCAGAATGCTAATAATTTTATGTATATTTATACAGATAGATAGATATATATAACATAAGAAATAAACAGTTAATTAAATTATAAAGCAGTACAAATGGCTCAGTGCAACTCACTCCTGTGAGACAGTTGTGAGACACCGGCAGTCCTTCAAGTCTTGAGGGCCACTGGGTAGTTCTCTATAGAGCAATTCAGGCTATCCGGGCACAGGAAGCAAACAGCAAGGCAGGTCACCAACAGTCAGCCAGATGACAGGGTTCCACAGTTCCCAGCTCAAGAGATGTAAATTCCAATGGTGTGGTGAAGCAGGTCTTGAAGGAGCCTCAATTTACAGCGAAACAGTCCATGGGTTAGGTGTCCCACAGGTAGTTTAGCTTGCAAATTGAGGCAAAGAACAAGCAAGGCAGCCACACACTGGTCCAATGATCAAAGAGCAAGAGACAAAAAAAAGGCGAGGCTCACTGAGCCATTTATCTCTCCGCCCTTCAATTAATCTCACATGTGTTTATCGGCCAGGTTGGCACAATAAACTAACCACTTCAATCAGGAAATTTGGAAGACAGCTACCTGGCCAACTGACTGGAAGAGACCCATATTTGTCCATTCTAAAGAAAGGTGGCCCAATAGAATGCTCAAACTATAGAACAATATTGATATCACACACAAAGAAATTTTTGCATAATATCATCTGACAATAGTTGCAGCAGTACATTGATAGGGAACTGCCAGAAATTCAAGCCAGATTCAGAAGAGGATGATGTAGAACAAGGGATATCATCGATGATATCAGATGGATGTTGGCTCAAAACAGAGAACACCAGAAAGATGCTTACTTGTGTTTCATTGACTATGAAAAGGTATTCGATGGTGTGGACCATAATAAACTGTGGATAACCTTGAGTAGAGTAGGAATTAAAGTACATTTCATTGTGTTCATGTGGAGCTTGTACATGGATCAAGAGTCGGTGTGACAAGAGAACAAGGGGACACAGCATGATTTAAAGTCAAGAAAGGTGTGTGCCAGGGTTGGATCCTACCACCATATCTGTTCAATCTATATGCTGAACAAATCATTAGAGAATCTGGATTATATGAAGAAAAGTATTGTATCAGGACTGGAAGAAGGCTTATTAACAACCTGTGGTGTGCAGATGACACAACCTGGTGTGCTGAAAATGAGGAGTTGAAGCACTCGCTGACAAAAATCAAGGATTCTAGCCTTCAGTTTGGATTACAATTCAATGTAAGGAAGACCAAAATCCTCACAGCTGGACCAATAAGTAGCATCATGATAAGTGGAGAAAAGGCTGAAGTTGTTAAGGATTTTTTCTTGCTTGACTCCACAATCAATGCTCATGGAAACAGCAGTCAAGAGATCCAAAGACATTTTGCTAGGTAAATCTACTGCACAAGGCCTCTGTAGAGTATTGAAGAGCAAGGATGTTACTTTGAGGACTAAGATGTACCTGATCCAAGTCATGGTATTCTGCCTTGCATCGTATGCATGTGAAAGTTGGACACTGAATAAAAATCAATGCATTTGAATTGTGGTGCTGGAGAAGAATATTCAAAGTACCGTGGACTGCTAAAAGGACAAACCAGTCTGCATTGGAAGAAGAAAGGCCAGAGTGCTCCTTAGAGGCAAGGATCACAGGACTTTATCTTACATACTTTGGACATGCTGTCAGGAGAGACCAGTCCCTGGGATAGGACATCATGTTTGGTAAAGTGGAGGGGTGGTGAAGAAGGAGAAGGCCCTTGACTAGATGGATTGGCACATGGGCTCAAACATAGCAACAATTTTGAGGATGGCACAGGACCATGTAGTGTTTCATTCTATTGTGCATAAAGTTACTATGGGTCGGAGCTGACTCGATGGCACCTAACAACAATAGTAGCCTCATATAATATTTATCCTTTGGTGATAGGCTAATTTCACTTAGCATATTGTTCTCCAGGTCCACCCAAGTACCATGAGATACTTCATGGTTTCCTCATTGTTTTTTTTAGGAATGCATAGCATTCTATTGTGTTTACATACCAAAGTTTCTTTATTCATTCTTCTACTGATGGGAATGTAGGTTGTTTCTATCTTCTTGCTGTTGTGAACAGTGCTATGATGAGCATGGGGGTGTATATGGCTACTCATGTTATGACTCTTCCTTCTTGACATTAAAAAATATCATTTTTGGGGGGGCTCTTATCACAATCCATCCATCCATTGTGCCTTCTTGACATTTTTTGATGAAACAGTTGAGGCACAGAGAATTTATTTATCTGTGCCCTAGGCCACACAGCTGGTAAGTAGCAAGGCTGGGATCAAAACCAGGCACTCTCCCTATTGAGGTCCTGCTGTTAACCACTACAATATGATGCTCCTTCATGAATGCCAAGGGAAGGACCCGGGGTTGGGTTAATACCGCATTGCTCATGGGGCTGCCCTGCCCAGCCTGAGTAGGCACTGTCAGTGTCTAGGAAGGTCAGAGGTGGACCTGACTGAGCTCCTTCCTTGGGCTGCACACCAGGTAGGCTTTACGATCACACTTGGAGTAGAAGACCCTGGGACCTGGCTCAGAGGTGCCTGGGCTGGGAGAGACCTTGGAGAAGGTGATCTTGTTAGTGGGCACTGGCAGGCTGAGGACCTCCTGCATAAGCCCGATGCCCCTTTGCTCTTTGTGTGTGTGTATCTCTCTCTCTTCCTCCAGAGAGCCATCACCATCCTGGACACAGAGAAGAGCTTCCTGAAATGTATGAGGAAAGCCTTCCGCTCGGGCAAGCTCCTGCAGGTGGGGTACACACCTGATGGCAAGGATGACTACAGGTGGTGTTTCAGGTAACGTCCAAATAGAGAGGGCACAAGGGGAGCTCTGTGTCTCAGCTTTGGGTATGGGGGTCCCATCCAAAGCCTGATCCAGGGTCTAGCTGTGATTATGGGGATGCACCTGGGGTTAACGATGGGTGAAGGAGCCATTATCGGATTTAGTTGTGAGCTTAAGGGAACCTCCCAAGGCCAGCGGTGGGCACAGGAACTACTGCAGAACGCAGTTGCTGGTAGGGAACCCACTTTCGATCTCAGCTGGTAGGACCCAGGGATAATCAATGGGAAATTCGAAGTATCCAGAAGTCACCCAGCGATCAAGATCAGAGTCTGGAATCTTGCTTTCCAGGCAGAAATAGTTATAGTTCCTGGGTCACATCATGTGGCCAGGGATGGTGTCCAAAAAGCAGGTTCATTGTTGTCCTGCCCCTATAGGCTCTGTCTCCATGTCCATCTATGGGCTTCTTGGGATGGACCTATGGGATCAAGTTCTTGATCTGGGAAGCCAGGCCAGGGACAGCTTCTGGGCTTTCAGCTCTGCCCGGCTCCCCTCTGTCTTGCAGGGTGGATGAAGTGAACTGGACCACATGGAACACCAATGTGGGCATTATCAATGAAGACCCCGGCAACTGTAAAGGCATCAAGCGCACCCTGAGCTTCTCCCTGCGGCCTCACAGAGGTGAGGGGTGAGAAGAGGGACACTGTGCCCTGGCCACGTGGGCCTACTGGGCTGGTGTCCTGATATCGGCCAGGTGAAACCTTGATGCCCCACTCCCCCAATCCTTGCAGGCCTTCCTGACCCTCTTAGAACTTGGGTACTATAACAATTCTGTCTTAGTTGTCTAATGCTGTGTAGGGAAAAGTACCATAAGTAGGTGGCTTTAAAGAACAGAGATTTATTTTCTCACAGTTTTGGAAGGTAGGAATTCAAATTCAGATTGGCAGCAAGTGCTCTTTCTGGACTCTGGGGAATGGTCCTTGTCTCTCAATTTCTGTAGCTTTGGGTGTTCCTCAGCCCTCATTGACTCGGGGAGGAATCCTCACACCTCTTAACCTCACTGCCAGCAAGTTGATCTCAACTCTTTGTGACCATATAGGACAGAGCAGAACTGCCGGTGTGAGTTTCCGAGACTGTAACTCTTTACAGGAGTAGAAAGCCGCATCTTTCTCCTGCAGAGCGACTGGTAGTTTTGAACTGCTGACCTTGAAGATCATAGCCCAACTCATAACCACTGAGCAGCCAGGTGTTACCTGGCATTTCTAAGCAGGGTCTTATTTACAAGTACGGGGAGATAAGACTTTGGCATAACTCTTTGAGAATGCAATTCAATCAATAGGAAACCCCAAATATCAACTATATGCACACACTCTGTCATGGGCATTCTCGTGTTCTCTTACACGTGCCCACACAGCTGACAGTTCTGTGTGCCTGCGCAAACCATCTCTGGCCAGCACCCTGATCCAAACACCTGTTCTCAATGCTCTGGGGGAAGTAGTTTGCCCTACATTCAGTCACCTGGGGCTCACAACCTGGTTGTGGGCTGTGCTGCTTCCTCCTCCTTGTCCCTTATTCCTCATGCCTGTCCTCCTACCTCGGTCAGGCTATACGGTCAGGCTATATGGACACAAAGGTACATGTAAACACTCCCTGGCCACATCCGAGCAGCCAATAGAGGGAGGAAGACTGGGGAGAGCAAGGATTACACCTGAGCAGAAAAACAAAAACAAAAACAACCAACTCTGAGCATCATTACAACTAAGAGGAAAGTCATTTAATAATACACAGTAAATATTTAGGAATAAACAGTAAATTAAAGGTCTACTTGAAGACCTTAAATTTTATCTTGAACATGAAGTTCATACTTAACAGATTTTTTTATTTACAATAACCCTTCATTAATGCTTATAATGAACAAAAATTAATCATGTTACCAGTTCATCTTTCACGTATGATATGATTTCATGAAAGCTCATGTTTTTGTTTTGTGTACTGAAAAACAACTTTATTGAGGTATAATTTATATACCATAAAGCATACATCTTAAATACACAGGTTGATGAGTTTTAATAAATGTAATACTCATGCAACCACCGCCTCAATCAAGACAGAAAACATTTCCACTATGTTTTTTTATAATCCCATTCTCCCAATTGCAGGCAACTGTTTCTCTGATTTTTTTTACTCTAGCTCAGTTTTCCTTCAGCTCTTGTTTGAGGATGTCCTCACATAGGTAATAGCGGCTCTGGATTCTTTGTCTGTTCAACATAATATCGGGCCCACTTAGGAGTTATTTTTCTACTGACTTCTTTCTTTTTACAGAACTTTTCATTGTGAATTAGGAGGGAGTTTACATGTCAGATAATCATTTTTTACCTTCAATAACTTGAACAACTTACCAACCCTGCAATGGCTTGCCCTGTTACCCCCACTGCACCTACTTTTCTCCCTCTCTTCCTCTTGCAGTGTGTTATCTTCCCTTCCACCCAAGTTAATGCCTGTCTACCCTCTAGCTCAGCCGTTCTCAGCCTGTGGTCATGACCCCTTTGGGGGTTGAACGACCCTTTCACAGAGGTCACCCAATCAATTCACAACAGTAGCAAAATTACAGTTATGAAGTAGCCACGGAAATCATTTTATGGTTGGGGGGTCACCTCAACATGAGGAACTGTATTAAAGGGTCATGGCATGAGGAAGGTTGAGAACCACTGTTCTAGCTTATTGCTTCCCCTTTCTCTCTCCCCCTCTTGCCCCTGATGACCATCAAAATCTTTTTCTCTTGCCAGGAAGATATTTTCTTGATTTTAGACAAATAATGGTCTCATACAGTATTTGGCCTTTTGTGATTAGCTGACTTCACTCAGCACAATGTCCTCCCAATCCATCCATGTCATGAAGTGCTTCCCAGCGTCATCATTATTCTTTAATGATATATATCGTGCGTCTGTCCAAAAATTTATCCATAATGCCACCATGGGACACATAGAGTGCGTCTGTCTTCTTGCTATTGTGAATAGTACTGCGATAAACATGGGTGTGCATCTATCTGTTCATGTAACAGTCTTTATTTTTGAGGCTATGTTCCATGTCGCACTGTTGCTGGGTCTTATGGTATTTCAATTCCCAGTGGTCTGAGGCAGCTCTGTACGGCTCCCCACAGTGATGGTACTCTTTTAGGGTTCCACTAGCAGTGTGTGTGAGCAAGTCATCAGAGAACTTGGATTGTGTGAAGAAGAATAAGGCATCAGGATTGGAGGAAGGCTTATTTAACAGCCTGCGATATCCAGATGACACAACCTCGCTTGCTGACAGTGAGGAGGACTTGAAGCACTTGCTGATGAAGACCAGGATTTCAGCCTTCAGTGTGGATTACTGAATTTTACAACTCAATGTAAAACTACAACTCAAAATCCTCACAACCCATAGAGAAAAGATTGAAGTTGTGAAGGATTCTGTCTTGCTAGGATCCACAATCCCTGCTCATGGAAGCAGCAGTCAAGAGCTAAAAAGACACATTGCATTGGGTAAATCTGCTTCACAATACTTCCTTAGAGACGGCGAGATGTTACTTTGAGGACTAAGGTGCACATGGCCCCAGCTATGGTATTCTCCATTGCCGCATGTGCCCACGGAAGTTGGACATTGCATAGGGAAGACAGACGCAGTATAGATGCCTTTGGATTGTGGTGCTGGTGAAGAATACTGAGAGAACCATGGACTGCCCAAAGGACAAACACATCTGTCTTGGGAGAAGTACTGTCAGTTTGCTCCTCAGAGGCAAGGGTGGTGAGCCTTCATCTTACATACTC